GAAAAGGAAGTGAGGGAGAACCATGCCACAAAACATTAGAAGGTCAACATAGGATCACAAAGTAGGCCAGGAAAGCAAATCTTTTCTGTTCGTCTCGGAACATCTGACACAGAAATCTCCAAGGTATGAACAGAATAACTGTAAGCAGTCAAAAGATGGCTTATAGTCTGCAAGGGGTCTTCCACTCTTACTCTTAAACTAAAGACATACTCACCTCTCAATGCACAAATTAGGTTTCGCTTTTATGGAAGGCATCAAATACAGACTTTTAATTCCAGCATTTACAGTTTCAGAACATTTCCCAGGTCCGGCAGCAAAGCTCCTTGACCTACTTCTAAAAAAGAAAAGCTGTCAGGAGTCACATCATCACAAAATGAAGAAATACGCATACCGTGCATACCTAGACACCAAGTCTCAACTGAGACAGGATTCAGGGAATGCATCACATGGTAACTCGTTATTATCAGTTCACAAATTTGAACAATTATCACCAAGTTAAAATACCCGAGATCAGATATTAAAATTAATTATTTAAACTCATAGGTGTCTCTCCTATGATTAATCTCTCACAGTAGTCAGAAGGGAATAGTGCCGCACCACCAAATCAGTTTGAATCTGGTAGAGATCTATTGATGTTGGACAGCTGCACCACTGTGGCCACCATAATCAAGCTCCAGACAGGCCCCTGCAGTAAGTCAAACTCACTGATTAATCTTCTGTTTTGCAACATTACTCCAGAGATGTTTTTGAGCCATCCAACTTTGCTAAGCTATTAAAAGATATCAAATAAAACAATACCTTGAAACTTTCTCAAAAACTGAGAAGGCTCAAAAAGAATTCCCTTGACTACACAACAGAATCATATTTGAAACAAAGTTATAGTCTCATTTCAGATTTTCCCCTGCTGAAATACTCCCAGCTCTGTGAGATAAGTGTTAGTTTGACAGGCAAGATGGGTATTAATGTTTTTATTGCTCATTAACACATAACAATTTGGACAGAAATTACTTTCTCTTACTAAAGAAAGCAACTTTGCATATTTCTAACACAAATAAATTCTTACAATCCAACTGGCCCCACATTTTTTTCCAAGATTTCTGACAGTAAGGACTTTGTAAGCAAATACTGTCATTAAACCACATAGAAATATTCAGATGGAGTTTCAGTCTTAATCAAATCCTTACATTCATACCCACTGATGCCACAGAGCAGGCAGAGCTCCCCATATACTCTATTAGTGATGGTTTGTATTGACAGCTGACTTTCCAACACCTGGTCAATCCAACTCTGGGTTTCTAAGCAACCAATCGATGTTGGGGAAAAAAATATCTAATTTTGAAGGACATGGGTACCATGTACATTTAATGCACACTGTTCTTGATTTAAGATTGGTGTATGCTCAAAGAAAAATAAAAATCAGAAGAGAAGAACAACTCTGCCCTACATTGTCAACTGTGCTATGTAAAAAAAAAAAAAAAATCCCTGAAGTTTTACTGGGAATTGTTATAAGCGTAACACAAAAAGACATGCACATTTCAGCATGGGTGCCAATCTCTAATAGACTAACAAAATTAACAACTACAAAAAAGTAACTGTATATCAAATACGCCCTGAAGGTCAAGCAAATATTTTACTCGTGTATTATTATCAAGAAGTACACTTAGGTGCTGAGATGAGGCTGTAACAAACTGCATTTTTCGAAAGCCATTAAAAGGATTTAGAGACACAAGTCCTGTGCAACAGCAGCAGAACTACCACTTCTGTACCTTCCTGGGCAGCACGTCCCAGGCTATTCTGCCCTGTGTCTGTGCTGAAGGCACAAAGATACCTAGTTTGGGCATACCCTACAGTGACATACCTACACAGACTCCAGGCACAGGAGTAATTTGGATCAGGAGCTGGATCCTGGATTTTGCAACACACTTTACCTGGTACAAGCATAACCTGCATTGCCCATACTCAGTCCTTCTTGCTCTCTTTTTAACCACTTCTTGCATCCCCCCCTTCTTCAGCCCAGGAAAGAATTTCTGAAGTAAGAGAAACGTTGCCTACACATGCCTTGAAAACTTCGACATAATATCTACCTCTTTTGTAAGCTTCATTTCAAAAAAAGTACTGAATTTTTGCATCTTCCAAAACAAAAATATTCTCAAGGTATGAAGAAACAACAGCAAATCCATTGCATAAACTATTTTTCAAGTATTGTGTGTGCTAAGTATTAACAAAATGCTTTTACACTGCATTGACAAAGCTTGCCTGCCCAAGTTAAAAATCGATGACAGCTGTTACTCCCCCTCTTCAGAGACTTCTAGTAACAATTGAGATGCTCTTGCTTAGAGGCACAACAACCTCAACCGCTATTTCATTAGCTTTCAATTTGTGGGACTGTTTTGTACCAGTATTTTCACTTTCATACCCTGTAGTACTCGCAACGTGACTATTGTTTTTTTGCTGGTCAGGGAACAAATCTATTTCAAAGAACGTATAGAAAGTTGTAAGTAGTGACAAAACCTGTCTCCTTCTCCAAATGTTAAAGCACACCTGGGGATAAAGAGAAATGACAGTAATGTTTTGACATGTTTTTTTTCCTCATCTAACAATTCCAAAGTCTTTTAAAAAGGTGGGTATTACCCATTCCATTTACAGGTTAAAGAAGGGGGGGGGAATGAAACGGCTATGAAACCCAAGGTTGTACAAATGGGTTAGCAGAAAAACCTGCTTTCTCAACTTTGCTTCTAAGATTGGTGCTTTAAATGTTTGGAAGCTGAACCTGTACTGTAAGAATTAAGATAATCACACATTCCACAATGAAATCCTCCCTTTTATTACAAAGGCCTTACTACCCTGAACATATATACATCAGCCACTATGCTAGCTAATACTTTGTAGACAGCGTAATAAGCAGTAGCCTATCTCCTCTAAGCTCAAGCATATACCCAAGTTTAAGCCCCACTACCCAGACAGAAAACAGTGCGTTAAACCTAGGCCTTTTGTACACCTGGAAATGCCTGTGTTTCCTATTACAAGGCGCATCACCTCTACAGACATCCCCTTCCTTAGGGCCAGGGGGAGGGAGAGGAGAGCACCATGGCCGTGAAAGAGCAGGCCCGAGCTGTGGCAAATTCAGAGTTGGAAACCAGAGCCGTGAGGTGGGTGGAAGGGGTTTCCCAGAGGAGTGATGGGAGTTAAGGGAAAACAAACCACCCCACCACAGACAAGGCGACAAAGGACAAGCAGGCAGCTCTGGGGCGGCAGAGCCCTGCTCCCCGCTCAACGTCTCCCGGCGGCCTCTCCTCAGGCCGGGCATGGAGACC